TAACACTTCTTCTTGACACGTCTTAACGGGGTTTTCAGTTCTTCGTTAAAACAACCGTTTCCAGCCTGTTGGAGTGAGCCAGGCGGAAGTTTTGGAGCGAGAAACTGGTGGATTTGACTAACATAGTTAGGTGCAGAAGGAAGTACTTAGACCGTGAGGCAGGGGATTGAATGTGTGGATGATGCACCTACCACTTAGCCACCAACTCTACTATGCACCCACCAGCGACCATCGGGTAAGTAGCCCAATTGAAGAAACGGGGAACAAGGGCGCCTGTAATACGGGAATGGTAATACAACTGGATTTGACAAGGTTGGCAGCTTAACAGCTGACTCTTAAACTCATTTTAGGCCTATAGCTGGCCCTTATGCCAACCTCTAACCCTAACCCATGACCTCTAACTCTAACCCAGGCCTAACCCTAAGACAAACGCCATCCCTAAAGGTGGCAACTGGGGGAGGGCGTAACGGGAAATGAGTGAACGTGAAGCGGTTTAAAGTAAGCTCACCAAAATGACATAATTAAGCATTCATGTTCATTGAAATTTCGGTTCTGACCCTAAAAAGTCATGTCCCGGAGATTTAACTCCAAGTCCTGCACTGAGTAATTTCTGAAATTATTCACTTGATTATTCTCTGGCGTTCATATACCAGAAACCGCTAGAGAACGCTGGGGGTCCCGCTGAAGAGCCTAACCCCTCACAGTTGTGTCACACAGCGGTAGAATATCGGCGAAACACGTGTCTGGGCTTTTAACAAGTATCTATGTCAGGAGTACGGTATAATACATTCACTATATGGAATTCATACTACTGGTAGTACTACTTGTTTGTAGAATGGGCATCACGTGGTTATTCCACAGTAGTTGATGGTGTTCGACTCAAATGTTCATTGAAATTTCGGTTCTGACCCTAAAAAGTCATGTCCCGGAGATTTAACTCCAAGTCCTGCACTGAGTAATTTCTGAAATTATTCACTTGATAATTAAGTATTTTTTAGAAGTAAGGACTAATTGGGTCCACATACTTGATCCTCACCCCCCCCCCTCCCCCAAGGGACATTTTAGTGCTATAAATTCGAGCTACAAGTCATTTATATTGTCGCGGGAACCATTTTTGGTGTCTAAATAAAAAAAGTTCACTAGGTTGCTCTCCTTATTTATCTGCTCAATGTATGGTTGCATTTATACGATCACAGATCAACTCGAAAATCGAATATGCCCTGCCATTGGCGGTAAAATTTTCCATTGGATGAGATTCCTTCCCTATTCTTGTCGTAATTACAGTCAACTGCAGCATTGACGTAGACTACGATTTTTAAAAGACTATGCTTTTTAGAGAAGACCCGGAGCTCTCTCCACAGTTCCAATGCCTTTCAAACTTCTCTCGGCGATGGATGGCCCATTGAGTAGTTTGAAGCAGAGAATGGTTTGCTCGGATCCCTGCATTTTTGCCAGATGTGGGTTGGAAGCCATTTGTAAACGCTCTACGTTCGTCGTTCTACTTGCGTCAGAAAGGTGTCGCGATTCGGCAGCTCACCATAGCGAATTTAGCCCTACAGATACGGGCGTCCGCATATGGTGTCATTTTGCTCAGTTCCGCCAAAACATTATCCGAAAACGTATACTATGCTCCAGCCGGTGCTCATAAATAAGCCAAAGTAAAGTTATCCACCTGCCCATAGCTTCTATGGACTATCATCACATGCAATGAGGTATAACATGCGGTGTAACAAATATTTGCGGGTCTCTTGTTCAGTGTCCAAAACGTTTTTTTATTTTCACTTGTTCCTAATTTTCCGTACGCTGTCCGACGAAAGATTTACGTCCAAATTTGGCTGTCAACTACTCACTCTCTGATTACAGTTTGGCATGCAAAATCGGATGGGTTAGTCACCAAAATTCTGGTCCATGTGTATTCCTAGATGCGACCAGTGAACCGTAACTTATGTCAGATCATATCCAAAAAGCTCTAATTCGAAGGTTGTGACCCCAACACGGGGATGCTGAGCGAGCGGGTAATCCGCCTCAAAACAAATTATGCAAAGCGACTATTCGCGCATTTACATGACTTTTAATGCGCCTTTTGTCTACTCAGCAAGAACATGCGCGTATGCCTGCCAAAAGTATGTGATCGTTCGGTTATTTAATGCTATGTGACACAACGAGACGTAGGTTTTATATTGGCTCCCAAGGTATCACTGAAATGCTGACCTTTTCTATTAAAACTAAGTAATTATGCAGTGCTTAACTGGCATTATCGAAATATATGCCGTCTTTGCCGTCCTTATAGAGGTTCTATATCTGACTTTCCGGAGTATTGCCAAGGAGATAACGGTGACCATAAAATGGGGGGGCGTCATTTAAAGCCATTCCTTCTTAGAATAGAGAGCGTTAACTGCCCGCGGACGGGAATGCTTCGGGCCTCCAAATCCAGGACGCCCTGCTTACCGCCAGCTCAACCGTCTATTCCGACGATGTCCACCGTGTACTACGCAGCTAGGTACGGCAGGTACGGTGACTTGTGCGTGAATTAGTTCATAGTGATAGCAGACTGAACTGAACTGACTTTCACAACATCTACCGCAGTTTCTCTTCTCCACACCCACTTCGATCCGTTGTTAAGACAGAGTCAAGAAGATCAGAGGCGGGGGAGGACGCAGGTGTCTGGCAAGCACAGACCCGTACCTAGGCGTGCCACCACAACCCCTGGTTTACAACATACACTTGGCCAACAAAAACACCCCAACAGGGGTCGGATGGACGAGGATGACTGGGCAGCCATGCCCACCAACTGTATGTATACCCAGCGGGAGTGCAAACGCATTTACCGTCAGGAGACCAGGTGCCAGAGAACTGCCAGCGCATATCAAGCTGCGAGGATTATGGTTTGCTGATGCTGGCATAGCACACGCTTTCAAACCTTCTGACCTAGTAGGGCGACACGTGTCCCTGCAGTCAACTTTCAAGGCTGGATAACCAAACAATCTTTGACTTAGTCGTCGACTGAGAGGCACTACCCATAAGGCACGCACACAGCCACAAACACTCTCCAATAGAAGCGAAGAGAAAAACACTCTCCTCACAGGCATTAGAGTGTCACAGGTCGCTTTAGAAGGGGCCGTGACAGCCTACCTCCCAACCCACCAGTCCGCTACTCCACACATCACAACATCTGGGCAGACTGTGTGGACTGAGTTGGGACGTCACTCGACTGACTTCCGAGCCACGGCGATCGAGGCAACGTCTTCGTCTTAGACTCGGATCACACATGCACCTGGGAGGGGGCGGGGGAGGAAAGAAGGGACGCATGGAGAGGGAGCCGAAGCGCACATTTTCCACTTGCGTGGGAGGTGGCAGTTGGGTGCTTGCGGTGGATGATGTTGATGTGTGTTGAGATGCTGCTGAGGGAGGGTGTAATGGTCTGAGGCAGCCGGCGTTTGTCTATCGCAGGTTTTTTTGGACGCGCATGTGGCCGAATAGACCCATGCGCTGAATAAATGTGAGTAAAATGTGCACAGGGGAGACGGATGCGGCGGATGTAGGGTGGTACTCCAGGCACTGGTTCGTCAGTCTCTGTGCGATGGCCTCGAAAATGAACGATCAGGCCGACGTGTGAGGTGAAGGTGCGGTCGCAATGAGGACAGGTATAGACTGGGTCCACACCACTGGTGTCGAAAATGGTGGTATTAGT